AGATGTTAAACCAAGGTACTGTCTTGCCTGATTTTTTCAGATGGATGTTAAAGATATGATACTATTCGAAAAGAGAAGGGCGTTTCTCCTGATTCCCTGGCGAGCAGTCCTCTTTATTAATTGGGCATTTCAAGTGGTAGCTGTTTGTGGGATCTTAATGGAGCAAATGTTTCCTGGGATTTGGCTTTGAATACAGTCACTACACTTACTTGTAACTTTCACTGGGTGCTTTTCAACGTATAGTAATCGGGTGCTACAAAAATGCTTTTTTTTCATTCTTTGGAATAACCGGAGATGGCTTCCATGTTAAGACATAATTTAACAATTCTTACACAATTCTACTTGATCTTAAACAATTGGCTCTACAGGTTAGGAAGAGGTGGAATTCGATCCAGTAAAACAGCAATAACATCCAGCGCCAATAATTGTCAGTAGCCTTTTGATTAAATTCCTTGACCTTTTTAATGCTGTTGTTTAATCAGCCCCGGAGCTGTTTCTAAAGAGCATAGTCATCTTGTCATTGAGTAAAACATCTTTTGGAGCTCCTCCAACTCCTGGATTGAATCTGAGCCACATGGACCTGGAAGGCGCCAGGGTTTGACTGCCGATTTGTGCTGAGTTAGCTGATCAGGTCAGGTGGAGTAGACATGATCCAAATGGCCTCAGAATCCTTGACGTTAAGGAGGTAAAAATCAACCAGCTTCCCACCTTCTGATCATGTCCTATGATCTTGCTGGAAAATGCCCATCATCAAAGAGCCTGAGTGTAATCGACTTCTCACCCCCATAGAATCATAGAATCTTACAGCACAGAAGGAGGCCATTCGGCCCATTGTGCCTGTGCCGGCTCTAAGTCCAGTGAATGTTTAGAAATTGGTACCCAAATATCCATTTGGGGTCACCTAACTAATACAATATTTATTATCTGAATCACATTCGTGACAAGAAAAAACACTCACTCTCTTTTCCAAAATACAGTTTAATAATATTAATGTGACAGGTGTTTTAATGTACACTCCCGCTGAAAGCTTCTCTCGTAATCATTTCTCTGATCAGGCCCATTCAGTTTTGAAGTACTGCGCTGAGTTCAAATGGTATGGTTGCACATTCTGCTGGAAATATAGTTTTCCATTGACCTGAACACATCAGACTGAAGCTCCCAATTCCAAACAAATGGGTGACGTCGATATGTATTCTAAAGATGCTCTTTGTGAACAGCGTTCAGTCTAAGGGCTATTTATTGCCTTGATGAGAAACAACAATTTGAGACTTGTGGCAGCATTTCGGAGAAATGAGAATTAGATTTCACCGCAACTCAAAGCAGGTTGGAATGCGCAATGTGCATTACTGGAAAAAAAAGGCAATTTTAAAAATAATAGTGCATTAATCCAACAAACAAATTCCTTTTTTTAAACAGCGTTGAATGGAATTTGATGTGGATGTTCTCAGGATGTCACACTTTCTTGCAAATATAGCTTAAAACAGTGCCAAGAGAGGGTTTTTTTAATGAACAGAGAACCAAAGTGGTTCCAGCGTAATGCTCTCACAGGACAAAAACGTCCTTTAATCCTGACTGCACTCAAGATGCGGACTTTGAAGTCACATAACCTGAATCAGTCAACATAATTATACACTGGAGTCTGAGTTGTTGTGTAGGTCACAGAGCTGCGGAATGATGATGGCTGCTGTCTTCAAAATAAATTCTTTGCTCTTTGCCAACTCCTCCCCTGCTAGATCTTGTCTTGTGGTAAGACAACGGAGGAAACACCCTTTTGGGTAAATTTACATTTTGCTACCACAGGCTGAAATGGTTGATTTTCCAATGATCTAACCCAATAACCTTAGCCAATGAGGAAATGTTTCCTGCTAGCACTTAAAATAAATTACAGGGCAGCAATAACACACACATGGATTTTATATTCTGCCATTAGTTAATAATCATCTCATCTATTTGCATATCCTGATTATTGGAGTTTATGGTACTGATTACCTTACTGAGGTATGCAATCAAACAAGTCTATTTTTTTAAAAAATGTTCATTCATCAGTCTTGAATCAACATCAGCTTATTACTATCTAATTGCCTACCATAAACTTCAGTAACAATAATATTAATCCTTGCATTTGATATAGCATCGTGTCATGCTGTCAAAGACTCAACGTTCTTCACAGGATTTTTACTGCAACGGTGACTGTCTATTTGTAAGTGAACGAGACGGCCAATTTGCACAGAACAATATGTCACACAAACAGCCACGAAGTGATTGACGGTTTTATATGGGGATTGCTGACTTGGATACTAGGAGAAACTCCCTTCTCTTTTCAAACAGTGCCACGGCCTTTAATTTATTTTGGTCAGCCAGGTGTCTGACACGTGCAGAAATCCATCACCAACACCGCATATGGACATTTCCCCGTGTGACTGGAATAGAAGGCTCGCTCCCTCTCCTTGCTTACACACCTTGCTTACCTTGAAATGGGATTAGAGATCAGATTTGTTCACGCAGTATAAATTAACTTTTTCAATTGAAAGAAGCGTTACTCACGGAGGTCAAGAAAGGTTGAGGATGAAGGGCCGCTTCTGAACCAGTGAGAGAGTATTATGGTACCGGGTATTATGGTACCAAAGTCAAACTAGGAAAAATGCGACATTGTAATGCAAGCTGGCAGTGAATTGTAAGTGATGGATAGCATAATGGCTATTGACAAGTTGGAATGCTGCCTGGAGGTATCTCTCGATGACTTTAACCCCTTGACCACTGTAGCTTTCTAGATCCACATCCTCAGTTTGGGAATGTATCTGTCTGGAATGGAATGCCCACTCTCTCTCCCGGCAGGGACCCACCCCATGTATCTAATTTTGGAAACAGTTGGATGGAGATTGGCGAGAGCTAAGGCTTTTGAGTCTCCTCAATGTGCGCTTGGGCAACTGCTGGGCTTGAACCAGCTAAAGCCATTGAGGGTACAGTCTGGCCACCTTCCCACTGCTTATCCAGTTCCTCTTTGTTACCCTCTCTTTTACAACAACAACTTGTATTTACACAGCGCACCTCACATTGGGTAGTGTCCCAGAGCGCTTGACACTACCCAACGTGAGGTGACTGTAGGCATGGTCAGAGGAAGGTCTTCAAGCAGTGGTCTGAAGATGGGGAAGAGAGAGGGCAAGGCAGAGGGATAGAGGAAGAGTGTTCCAGAATTTCAGGGCGTAGTGGCTAAAACTGCGGCCACCGATGGTGAAACAGAGGGAACGAGGGACCTCAATCCCACCTGGAGCTTTCTCCCACCCAACCAACCAACCCAATTCAGCCCATCCAATCCAGTTCCAATGAAGGCAATTAATCTTACAAGCGCCCATTGACCTGGCTGCTGATCCCAGCCACTTTTTAGTGGGTTTTTCTCTTTTAATTTTGCACTTGGGGTTCCTAACCCAAAAGGGTCCCCCCAGTCCCCCAACTCAACAGCCTCCCAGTGACTGGGGCACGTTATATTCTGCTCATTGCCAAGGGAGGCTTCAGGACATCTGCACACATCCTGCAGTGCCATGTAATGATACCTCTTTCTTTTTCTCTCTCTCTCTCTTGTAATTTATCATCGAAGGGAGGGAGGTGTGGTTAGAAACGTCACCCTATAAACAGTTAGTCTGCCTGAGGGTGGGTGGAAAGTGACTGCAATGAACAGTCCAGTCTGCAGAGCTCCACATCTCAGCACCAACCTGGAGGGGAACATCCCAACCAACGCCTGTTAGTCATCTTCCCCACATCCAGCAGGTCAGGGGGGAGAGGGAGGGGGAGACTGAATCCTCTCCACCTCTTGTGGACGATAGACATTTAAGTAAGAGAAGTGCCTACGAATCGCCCTGATTTGGGGAAGAGCTTTCCTGCCTCCAGTCCCAGTCTGAGCTGAGCTGAGAGGAGAGGAGAGGAGAGGCGGTGGGAGCCTGGACATCCCTCGGTATGTGATCATTACAAGTCTTTTCTCTCCTCTCTGTGTTTTCCTTGCGCTGTGTTTTTTCCTTCTCCCCATCTCTCTCTCCCTCCCCCCTCTCTCCCCCCCCCTCTCCCTCTCTCCCCCCTCTCTCCCTCTCCCCCTCTCCCTCTCTCCCCTCCCTCTCCCTCTCTCCCCCCTCTCCCCTCTCCCCTTCCCTCCCCCTCTCCCCTCTCCCCTTCTCTCCCCCTCTCTCTCTCTCCCCCCTCTCTCTCTCTCCCCCCTCTCTCTCTCTCCCCCCTCTCTCCCTCTCCCTCTCTCTCCCCCTTCTCCCCTGTTTTGGGCTCAAATCTCTGTGTAACCCCGAATCTCTCTGGGTGAGTGGATTGGGATTGAGTTCCCAATTTGGGGCAAAAACTTTCTTCCCCTTTCCACCCCCCAACACGGTGTGATACTCCTGATAGAAGAGGCACCAGACAAACCCCCCCACAACCCCACAACCCCCCTCCCCCCACGATCTATGGGGTAACTGCAGGATAACAAGTCCCTGTGAGGCAGTGAGTGTGTGGGGACCAAACCCCAGTGTTGCAGTGACAGTCAGAGCTGTTCGGAAAGCGATCGCTTCATCTGATCGATAACGAATCGATAACCAATCAATTTGCGCAGATAATCCACAGCTGACGTATGTCACGCGGATACATTTTGGATACTTTTTTTTTGGGGGAGGGATACATTTCCGATACTTTTTGGATACATTTTTTGACACTTTTTTTATTGGGGAAATACATTTCTGATACATTTTTGACACTTTTTTTTATTGGGGAAATACATTTCTGATACATTTTTGACACTTTTTTTTATTGGGGAAACACAGTTCTGATACATTTTCGATACCGGTTTTGAAACCCCTTTGACAACTTGTACCTTCCTCTTTGACACCCACAGGCGTCTCTGGTTGGATTACGTGGTTGAAGATCGGGATCGCTTTGCCCGGGTTTGGGTAGATTGCACTGGATTTTAGGGTTCGTAAAGTGAAGACGGGGCAAAAAAAAAAAAGAGGGGGCGTGTGGGGAGTTGGGGGGTGGGGGGGGAGGGGAAATAAATCAACCCCCACGAAAAAAAAACCATCAGTCGTAATTGGGGAAGTTTTTAAGGTTGTGGTGGCTCCCGACTGTTCTTCTTCAACGCTGCGGAGAGGGGAAAGGAACATGGAAACTGGCTCAGAGGGAGTCTAACAGTGGAGACATTGACATACGGATTTTTTTTTTTGGGGTGGGGTTGGAGGGGGGGGTGCGTGGCGGAAGGGGGGGGAAATTCACCTTGGATAAGAGAGCGAGCGAGAGAGAGAGAAATTTGGAGGTTCCACCAGCCTGGCTCCTTGGAGCTCAAAACCCTTTGAAATCTGAACGAGTTTTGTTTGGATTAAAGGCATAAGTTGATTCCGTGTCATTAAAATAAAAATGTGCACCGAGGGTTTCCACTACAGAGCTCTCTTTGAGTACAAGAAGGAAAGGGATCAAGACATCGACTTGTTGCCCGGGGATATTCTGAGTGTGAACAAAATGGTGCTCCTCAGCCCTGACTATCAAGAGGGAGATGAGAAAAGTCCCAAAGGCTGGCTCAATGGTGTCAACGAGCGAACCAAAGACAAGGGCGACTTTCCCGGCACCTACGTTGAGTTTGTGGGACCCATTAGGACCCTTCCACCCACCCCAAAGCCAAGACCTAGACCCGTCCCGCCCACCCCAATTGGTGCATCGACTGGAGCTCAAGCCAAATCTACGGTAAGTGCTCTTTCCAAGACTTACCTGCCTCCTGAGGCAGTGGGTGTCCAAATGCATCAGCTTTACTTGTTAACCTTTATTTGCCAAAAGAGACTTCAAGTGGTTCTGGCTCACTTGTCAAAAGCTCAGTAATAAATAATTCCTTTTGTCTTTTGTGGTTGGGGACACAAAACTAAATCATTTCCTGGGGCAATTGTCTGCTTTTTTTTAAGTAATATATTAAAAAAAAAGTAATAGTGCCTTGGGTTACAGGTAAAAAAATCACTTTATAAATTTTGCTTTAGGGTATTGGAAATAGGTGATTGCCGGTTCCTGAGGATATTGCAGTTATTAAATTAGAGGGAAGCAGGGGTTAATGTATCATTGTTATGTTTTGACTTTTTTTGAGATGTCAACTGTTTTAAGCTTCCTGTGCAATGTTAATTACCTGTTTTGTAATTCTTCAATTGTCTGGTAGTTTTTTTTTAAAAAAAAGTGTAATTGGAATCCAACAAAAGTGTTTATTTGTGATCGTTTGACTGAATATTGGGGTTTATAAAAGTAGTGTCTGGGTGTGGCACTCAGGCAACACAGAGGCAAGATGCCCAGATTCGATGTCTGTTCTGTGCCAGGTTTAGCTGATTGTGGTTGTATTTAAGGTGCTGTAGTTAGCCTTCGTGCCCCTGGGCTAGCCAGGGTTCCCACTCCAGATTGCTGTCCGCTGACCTCTGTCTAAAAAGTGTTCTGGTGAGGATTTGATTGAGCCACTCACTGTCAAGAAGGCTTCTGGCATGTGCTGTTGTTTTCCGAGACACTACCCCACGTGAATGGCGTTATATCATTACATTTGTTGTTGTTGCACAAGCACACACTTGAAGAATTGGTAGCGGAATGGCGCCCCTAAGGGTTGTCAGCTTCAGTTAGTGTTGTGGGGAGAGATCAAGTGAGCAAAGTGGCTGAAAAATAGATTAATTAATTACAATGGTCAAATGGTTTATGAAACGAGGACAGTTTCCTTAGTGGGAATGATAAAAACATAAAGCGAAACTAGCACAAGAAAATGAGTTTTTTTTTAATAGTCTGCAGTATTTTGCTATTGAAGTCTTAGATTTTCTGTTTTCCTATTCCGTTCATGTTTTGGGTTCCCTGGTTGCCAGCAAACGACAGGTTAATGTGAGCGCTGGTTATTCAGCAACCTCTCCAACCGATCATTTTTATCGAGAGAGAGAGAGAGAAAAATGTAAAATTTAAGCACGAAAGAGAGTACACACTATCACTAATCAGCTTTACTTTGATATCACACTGAGGTGGTGTCAGATCATAAGGAAAATCGTACCATTCAAAACTGAATGGATCGAGTACTGCCTTGAATCAAGCGCTGGACATTTAATTAGACTGTTAATCTGAGTTGTGTTTTTTAAATTAACACATCATTGAATAATCATGGTACCCAATGAGAATTCAGTGTGTTATGCAGCGTAGAGCTTCTGATTTTCTAATTTGTGTTCACAGCATTGCTTAATTACACCGAAATGTGGCCGTGCTGTTCACGACTTATTTCCCCAAATGAAACCGAGAACCAAAGCAATGTAGAAACCATTTTGCTGTGTCTCTTATTACACTGGCAGGGCACAGCGCTCCTTGATGCAGATTTTAACTCGTGAACATTTATATTTTTTTTAAAAAAAAAGCAAATCAATAGATTTTAAAGCTCGTGTTTCGGTTTACAGAAAAGCTATTCTAGACTGGTTAATTCACATTGGGTTTCTCTTCCGTCAGTGGATTTCACCTATTATTTTACCTGTGATAATCATTTCCTCCACTTAAAAACAAAACTGTTCGGTATCAGCTCGGGAAGCGACTTAAAGAACAGAATAAAAAAGAATTTACTCAAAACTCCTTTTTAAATTCAGAAACCCTGATGTGTGTGTGTGTTTTTCTCATACCTTAACCCTCCAGGAAAAGTTGAAGATAGATCATAAATCAGCAAAAAAGGCATATGTTATTTTGATCATAACCAGGATGGTGAGCCAGAGCACTAGAATTGTTATTTCAGTTACAGCAGGAGTTTGAAGAAATTAGCTTTCTCTCCCTTTACCATAGTTCCTGCAAATAATAACAATCCTCGTATTTAATAATAATAATCTTTCCATTTGATATAATTCCTTATCACGTCTTCTAGATGTCTCAAAGTGTTTCACAGAATATACTTTATATATAAAGTGTAATGACTGTATTTTTGATAGTGCCTCATCACGTTGTTGAGGCGCTTCATAGGATCGTCGATTGACTGCGTATTTTGTGGGCGAAAGACGACAGCCATTTGAGCACAGCAGTGTCCCGCATATCTATTTAAAAAATCACACTTTCAAATGACACTGAGTTGTATTTTCAGAGTCTGGAGTTTTCAGCTTTGATATGTGCAGGTGATTTGTAAATCCTTTGAGATTCCGCAATAAATTAGGTGAGCAGACTAACACGGTGCTACCTCAGGGTATGGAGGCAGCCTTGAAATTAAGCAAATGAATCAAAGGGATTGTCATCTGATTTTCATTTTAAGGGCTTTACCTTTTTTGGTCTAATCTAAGTTATAGATGACTCCATGTGGTATATGTCCTTACTGCCATGCTTTAACCTTGCAGGAGTGAAGGTTAAAGCATGGCTTTGAAGCTCTTTGAGACGTCTCGCATTTATATAGCACTCTTCATGCGGGTTAGTGTCCCAGAGAGCTTTATCAAATGCAAGTATTATTATGAGGTTGTACGCTTGATAAAATATTGTGAAAGACAAAGGTGTATTATTCCAGACTCAAACCCCAGCATCGATACTTTTCTTAAATGATTTTTTGTTTGTCTTTCCTTTGCCTATTTATGCTGGCAATAAAAGAGCTTAAAATATCGGTTTGTTTTTGAGTACAAACAAACAGGTAAGTTATCCGTATGCTTCACTGTAAGGGAACACAGTGTGGCTTCCGAAAGGAATGTGTGCAGAACTTTCCCGAAATTGAGCTGAAAGAGCTGCCGTAAGCGCTGAGCAGGGGCAGAGACAGGGGGCCTGTTTATGAAACCTTTTTTACGGGCTCCGTTATGTTGTCCAAGAGACCAAGCCTTTTTTTAAGCCCTTCAGGTTGTTTAATAGAAAATCTTCCATCATGTCTAACAATGGGAGCCTCCACGTCAAAGTTATCTGGCATCCCAGGTATAAAGCAATGGAGAGTTAGAGCTTTATCTTGTTCGGGGTAAACGCAGCATTGTTTAGAGCATTCCATTTCAAAATAAGACGGACACAAAATGCACTCAGAATTACCTAGGGAAGCCCTTTCTTTAAACGGTTCCAATGGGCCTGATTCAATTTTTATCCAAAACACAAAATATAAAATCCAAGGCAGATGCCTGGCTCTTTCTGGTGAAGTCTGCATCGATTTATTTTCAAATCTTCAGTGAGGGGTGGGGAAGAGCGTAAAAAGTCAACTAGAAATGTGTTTATGGCTGAAACAACAGTAGGGAGAAATATCAAATGTGGAAACGTTTTAGCTAAATGGCCGCGAAAGTGTTTTTCCAGATTTGTTAACAAGAAACTGCTTGCAACAACTATTAAACGCTGTCAACTCCAAAGCTCAACCTCCCTACACAGAGAGGTTGGTAACCCCCCACTACCCCTCTCTGTTAACTTTGGAGCAGAATGAATGCGTAGAATACAAGAGGGGGAAAAAGGATGAAGACGAGTAAATAAACCAGTCCTGTTTATAATTGCTTTGTGTGAGCTCAGAGGCACTGCACTCTCCTCTGATGATGAAATAGTCCTTTACTATCTCATGCCTGTTTAGACACATCCTTATATGTTTCTGATTTATTTTCTTTTTTAAAAAAAAGTATGGAGATGGCAACCGCTTGATGTTTATGTTGCTTTTAGAAGTGTTTTGATTCCTGTCATTGGACGTGACAGGAGCCAGAGTTTTGCATCGATGGCCAGGCTTTGGGAGGTGAGTCAATAAAGGAAGAGGCTGCACAAATGGCTTCAGGGCTGCAATATGGGAGCTGAGGCCACTTCAGTGGCATTTGGGGCAGGGGTGGGGGGTGAGGCAATGCCTGGGAGGAGGGGGCGATGCCTGGGATGAGGGGAAATTTGTTTTTTTAAAGTAAATTAACCGAAATACTTCCTGACCGCTGATCGACTTCCTTGCACGGAGATTACATTTCCCACCAACCAAATGGATCGATTTGATCCTCTGCAGTTGTCCTGCGAGCACTGTACTCCTCGGCTGTGTGTGTATTTGTTGTGTGGCTGAGGTTGTATATTATTTTATATAGCCTTTCAAGTTACAGGCTCTCTTTGCACTGGGACATAGCAAACTAGACAGAACATTTGAAGCTATTTTAATATACATATATATTTTTTAAAAATAAATTGGGGTTTCTGTATTCATAGGTTTTATTTCTGCATTCATTCGAGCAAATGCAACTGACTCATTTGATCTTATTAACTGCTCCAATGCCAACTCCTATATATAGAGTGATATATATATATATATATATATGTGTGTGTATATATATATATATATCGTGCTCTCTCCTATCTCTTCCCCTCCCTGGCCATCTTCTTAGGGAAGTCCCAAGGAACATCTAAACAGTTATGTGACTGAGGGCCCAGTATTGGAGACCGAGCATGTGTCTGTCTCATCATCACTTCCTCGTGCAGGACTTTGGATTTGCAGCGCCCTGAAAACTATTCCATGTGGATTTTTTAAAAAAAAACTGTCAGTGAATAATCCTTATATTTGGCACAGCTCCTCTCGTGTTGAAATGTCTCTAACCGCTTTGCAAAGTTTAATGACTTTGCCTTTGTGGGTGGATGTGGCACCCAAATTGCACACAGCAGTGTCCCACCATTGATGTGAACGAGCAATTTTACCTGGGACCGCGGAGATCTTTAATGCCCACCGGAACAGGCAGATGGGATCTCGGTTTAAATTTTTTTTTTTTTTTTTTTTTTTTGCTTGTTGAGAAGCAGCCGGCTGATGA